GTCAAATAATCTGGGCTGTATTGTGATTTCAACAGATAGACAGACGGACTTCGTTAAATCGACTTAGGCTGATTATGAATATATATACTTTGTTAGGTCTACGGCGAACATTTAGGGATTTTACAAATGGAATGACAAAGTTAATATACCCTCATTTCCAATGTGGAGGTAAGTAAAAAGAAGCTAAATTCGGCGGGGCATAATACACTCCACCATTTTAAAGGAAATAGAAAAATTTCAAAAAAATCCGAAAACTACAACTTCAACGAAATCCGTTATATGGGGGCTATACGAAGACTTGGACCTGCATACAAAAATTTTTGTCATAGGCTGTAGTACCCATTAGGAACTTCCATTACGAAATTTGAATAATTGTATTGAAATAATTTTACTGAAATCGTCAAAATACCGACTATCGGGAGGTACCGTATTATAAGGGCTATACGAAGACGTGGACCTGCATATAACAATTTTTATCATAAGCTGTAGTACCCATAACAAACTTTAAATACCAAATTTGAAACAATTCCGAATATCGGGAGTTACCGTTATATGGGGGCTATACGAAGACGTGGACCTGCACAAACAATTTTCTGTCTTAGAATGTAGTAACCATTATGATTTTCCATTACGATATTTGAAACGATTCCGGTGAATAATGTTGCTGAAATCACCAAAATACCGAATATCGGGAGGTACCGTTATATGGTGGCTATCCGAGGACTTGGACCTGCATACAAAACTTTTTTGTCATAGGCTGTAGTACTTATTACGAACTTCAAATACGAAATTTGAAACGATTGCGGGGAATAATGTTTCTGAAATCATCAAAACACCGAATATTGGAAGGTACCGCTATATGGGGGCTATACGAAACCGGGGACCGACATGGCCCATTTACGAACTTAACCTGCCTACTGATAAATTATTCATGTATACAAAATTTTAGCCTTCTATCTCAATTCGTTCGAAAGATAGCGTGATTACAACAGACAGACGGACATCGCTAGATCGTCTTAGAATTTTACGCTGATTCAGAATATATATACTTTGTAGGGTCTATTATGAATATATCGAGGAGTTACAAACGGAATGACAAAGTTACTATACCCTTCTTTCCAAGGTGGAGGGTATAAAAATGGTGGATTTTGGGGTGAAGATCAGGCAGAAGCATTGCAAAAGCTGCCAATGCATCCAGAAAAAAGTACCGTTTGGTGTGGTTTACGGGCTGGCTCACAATGTGAATGGTGAGCGCTATCATGAGATGACATCTGACTTTTTTTGCCTACAATGCAAAAGGTTGACTTGTATGACATGCGGTTTCAACAAGACGGTGCCATATGCCACACAGCATAACAATTAAATATATATAGGCAGTTCTATCAAGTCAAATAAAAATGTCATGAATTTTTCGGAATTTTATCTGGTTTAATTTTTCTACAAATCTTAGATCTATAGTAAAATTGGAAATGTAGGTTCGTTTTTCATGATATGTCCACAAAAAAGATTCCGAATAAAGAAATAATCCAACCCAAACACATGTACGATATTTTTCTCGTCAAGTAATTTTTGGGTTTCTCATAATTCGGAGGATTTAGAAAAAATTTCTTCATTTCAAATTACAGATTTTTTATTTATATACCATAGTATGGAGGGTTTATTAAGTTTGTCATTCCGTTTGTAACACCTCGAAATATACATAGGTAGGTTGATAAAATTTTACTCAAATGTGTATTATATCTACAGGACTTTTGGTATTGAAAATGGGTCATGTAGTTCCACGTCTTCGTATAGCCCCCATATAACGGTACCCAGGATATTCAGTATTTTGATGATTTTAGCGTCATTATTTACCGGAATCGGTATTTGAAGTTAGTAGTAGATACTACGACTTAAGACAGAAATTGGGCAATGTAGGTCCACGTCTTCGCATAGCCGCCATATTACGGTACATCCCGATATTCGGTATTTTGATGATTTTAGCGACATTATTTACCGGAATTATTTAAAATTTTGTATTTGAAGTTCGTTATAGATACTTTGGCTTAAAACAGAAAATGGGCCATGTAGGTCCACGTCTTCGTATAGCCCCCATATAACGGTACCCTCCGATATTCGGTATTTTGATGATTTTAGCGACATTATTTACCGGAATTATTTAAAATTTTGTATTTGAAGTTCATAGTGGATACTATAGCCTGTGCAGTCCACGTTGTATAACCCCCATGGTACCTCCCTATATTTTGATGATTTTAGCTACATTATAAGCATATTTTTTCAAGTTTCGCATTTGAATATTGTAATAGCTTGTGACAAAGTTGCTTATGCAGGTCCACGTCGTCGTATGGACCTAATATACGGCTACATTCGGTGTTTTTAAGATTTTAACAGAATTTTTAACGGATTTAATTTTTTGAAAATTACCAAATTTGTACCAAATGGTGGAGGGTATTCAAAATTTGGCCTGGCCGAACTTACAGCTTTTTTATTTGTTTTTTTTTTTTTTTTTTTTTTTTTTTTGAGCGCCACCATTATGCTTAGGTGCCACTGACCATATTCTTAAATGGATCTGAATGCAATAATATAGTTTTTTTCTATTAACACCATGTAACCATGTAATCATTTGTTACATTTCTCTTCTTCTAGAGGTTGAGTTTTTTGTTCTACCACCCTTTAAGTCGTTTTTATACCCTACACAACATTGTGGTAAGGGTATTATGTCTTTGTGCATTTCTTTGTAACATAGAGAAGGAAGCGAAATAGACCCATAGTTACTCTTAAGGATCTTCATAGAATCACTTTCTGAGTCGATTTATGCATGTCAGCCCATCTGTCGGTCCGTCCGTCCGTCTGTCTGTCCATGTATTCTTGTGAACAAAATGCAGGTCGCATTTACTATCCGATTGAGATAAAATTTTGCACAAATCATTTGTTTGGCCCAAGGACGAACCCCTTTTGAAATTTGTGATAATGGGTTCAAATTTAGATATAGCTCCCATCTTCAACAGATTTCGGGTTCATTGTGCACCAAATGGCCAATATCAGTCCAAATGACCTGCATCATTCGACCGAATTCAGTCTAGAAACACGTACATCAAATTAGGCTAATATCGGCCAAAAGGGACTGATTTTTGGCACTTCTGACGGAAATCATTCTAGAAACAAGTACTTCAAGTTTGGTGAAAATCGGTTCAGATATAGCTATAGCTCGATAAAAATGTGTTTCATCCGATTTGGTGTTAAAGTCCCACACATGCATATATGCACTCCACAACAATGATATTTGATACCGGACATCAAATACAGATCGAAAATGCCTCTGCTAAATTTTATCGAGATCGGTTGACATTTGTATTTACCTTCGATATACATCTTCATTCGATTCTACGGTTATTGTCCACCATATATGTAATATCAGCCCAAATTGAAAATTTTTTCATATTCAACCGAATTTTACCATTTAGTGAAACTTCATACGGTATATCTATTGCTCCAATAAATATTTGTTAGTATAATCCTTATCGAAGTCATGTCATGCACTATACAGCAATGTTATTTGGTTCGCAGTTGGTATGATCTGGTATTTATGTCTAATTCCCAATATGAACTTTTCTGTTAGGGGAGCTCTACTAAATATGCATAGTAGTGTAGGGTATCATACAGTCGGCCTCGTCCGATTTTTGATCTTTCCTTACTGATTTATAATAACTTACTTTCTCAATAACTGTTCTCGTAGTAGTTCTAAAAATGATTCGAACCGAACAGATTACAAAAATTGTCATTCGTTTAGAAAATTTTGTGTGGGAAATTAAGAAGATATACACCAAGTTCACATGGTACGTGACCCGTTCCCTATATATTTTCTTACAAATCTTAGATACAGAGTACAAATATAATTGTAGGTTCGTTTGTGGTTCATGGTATGTGCACCATAGAATAATTCGGATAGCTTACAAGAAAATTCTTTATTTTGAATTAAAGATTTCTTAATTTTTCTCGTTGGGCGCCACAATTTTAAGTAGATACTAACGAATACTCTCTTAAACGGATTTAAATGTTATAATATTGTTATATTTCATTAACAGGTTAACATATGTTACATTCCTCTTTGAGGTTTCATTTTTTATGTGGTAGAGGCCATAAAAAGTTCCACATTGAAGCCCTTAAAATTGTTCTATATTTTATTTATTTATATTTCCCAAAATTTGACACACATTTTCCAAAACAAAGAACAACAGTCAACAATCTTTTCTCCCCAATTCTCTTACAGCAAACATTAAGAGTAACTCATTACAACTTTCTCTTGATAATTGGCATTGCACCTGATTTCGAGACCCGAAGGGAGAGTAGTGTTAACGATAAGATAACACAACAAAATGCTGCTGATAAGAGTTCCGACTCATTTCGTGGATATAATTCGTATCAAAGGAAATTTCTCAATTATTTAGTAGTTGCTGGTGGTAGGTGAAGTGAGTTCTGTGTTGTGTAGACTACAACATTTATTTGGCTTTAAGACACCAAGTGATCCCTCAAGACTCCGTATTTTAAAAAATCCATGACACTCTGTGAGTGAGTGCAACATATGGATAATTTACACCCGATTTCGAATCGTTTCGATATTTACGGCAACGTAAAACGCAAATAATTGTGAAATCGCTTTGAAGTGCTGGCCAAAAAGCCAAGTGTTTACCGATTTTTATACGACATTGATAAACTTTTATTAACTTTGGTTGTCTATTTTCCGCCCTTCTCTGTCAAATGAGGGGAAACGAGCAACAACAATAATCGAATCGAATCGATTGCAGTGTGTGTACTATCCCATAAATATGTGTGTTTGTGTGAATGTATGTCGTCTATATAGAAAAAAAAACACAAAAGTCTATGATAAGATCATTCAAGTAATGGCTTATTGATAAGAAATTCCCAACGGCATTAGCCGACGGCATGTTGAGTCATTATCGTGTTTTTTGTTTTTTGTGTCAAAATTATTGGTGTTGGTTTCGATTCTATCAGTTAAAAAAAGAACTAAGTACATGTGTATGTGTAACATTCGCTTAATAACAATTAAAAGAAAAACGTTAATTTTATATTAATTTTGGGTAAATCACCTTCTTTTCCTCCAATTCTTTACGACAGCACCAGGAAAAAAATAAATTTTTCTCTTCGTCTAAACAAAGCTAATCTTTGTACCTTGGAGTGATAGAATATATATCGAACAATGTATCATCCATGGAGCTTAATCGCCTTTGCGGCGTGTTGCCTCCTTGTGTGCAACTTCAACTTGTTGCAAGTACAAGCTGAAGGCACCACCCAAAAAGCCGTACCCTTGGCCAGTGAAAATTCCACATCGACAACGGTTAAACCGGCTACAACCAAGGCCCCCGTAACAACACCAACGGTAAGTCTGATAAGTTATTTTAAAAGGATTTGTTATGGTTAGGTGAGATCTATCAATCAGTTGGCGCCCAGTTTGGTGTTAATAAACATGACATAAACATACGACATTGAATAATTAACATATTGAAAACCAGTAGTAGGGAATATGTCAAAAGGCGGGTGAGGCCGACTATATGATACCCTACACTACTATGCGTATTTAGGAGCTCCCGTAACAAAAAAAAAGTATGAACCATATATGAATGAGTATCATGACTTAAGAGTAGTCACAATTTGGTAACTACATCAAACTCTGAATCGATTTTCAAAAAAATTTGACGGAGATTGTTGTACATCGAGTACCAAATAACATTGCTGTAACAGGATGAGATAAAAAACCAGTAAAGAAAGTCTTAAAGTCGAGCGGGGCCGACTTTATGATACCCTACACCACTTTGCTAATTTAGTTGAGCTGCGCATAACAATTAAAAGTTTTTATGGGAGAATTCAATCATACACGCTATGATTATTATTATAATTTAAAGTTCAAAGAACTAAATATGCCGAAGCATTTGTATCTTTTAAATTCTGAGTTGTATTGCCCATTTGGTGCACAATTAATCTAAAATCGGATATATATATCCGAATATATATGGGAGCTATATCCAAATCGAAACCGATCTCGATAAAATTTGGCAAAGATATTTCTGAGCTCTATTTGATATATTTCCCTGAATATCGTTGTTACGGAGTGCATATTACGGCTGTGGGTAACAAATACTAGAAACCTGATGAACAATATATATGGGAGCATAGCTGTATATGAACCGATCTTCGTCAAATTTGGCATACTAGCTTCTGGGCTCAATTCGGTCGAATGTGCCATTTGGGCAACTATTAGACGTTTGGTGCACAGTAAAAGGTAAATCGGACGAAGTTATATATGGGAACTATATCCAAATCTGAACCGATCTCGATAAAATTTAGCAAAGGTATTTCTTAGCTGTATTTTATATATTTGCCCAAATATTGTTGTTACAGAGTGCATATTACGGCTGCGGAGGACAAAAATAACAAATCGGATAAACAACATATATGGGAGCTATAGCTATATCTGAACCGATTTTCACTAAATTTGACATACTAGCTTCTAGACTCAATTCGTACGTATGTGCCAAATTTCATCCAATTTGGGCAAATATTAGACGTTTGGTGCACAATCCAATGTAAATCGGACGAAGTTATATGTGGGAGCTATATCCAAATCTGAACCGATCTCGATAAAATTTAGCAAATGTATTTCTGAGCAGTATTTGATAAATTTCACCAAATATTGTTGTTACAGAGTGCATATTACGTCTGCGGAAGACAAAAATAACAAATCGGATAAACAATATATATGGGAGCTATAGCTATATCTGAACCGCTCTTCACTAAATTTGACATACTTATTTTGAGGTCCAATCTGATTGTACACGCGAAATTCCATACTATTCGGTCTGATATTACACGTTTGGTGCACAATAAAAGGCAAATCGGACGAAGATATATATGGGAGCTATATCTAAATTTTGACCGATTATCTCCAATTTCAATAGGGTTCGTCCTTGGGCCAAACAAATGATTTGTGCAAAATTCCATACTATTCGGACTGATATTACACGTTTGGTGGACAATAAAAGGCAAATCGGACGAAGATATATATGGGAGCTATATCTAAATTTTGACCGATTATCTCCAATTTCAATAGGGTTCGTCCTTGGGCCAAACAAATGATTTGTGCAAAATTCCATACTATTCGGACTGATATTACACGTTTGGTGCACAATAAAAGGCAAATCGGACGAATATATATATGGGGGCTATATCTAAATTTTGACCGATTATCTCCAATTTCAATAGGGTTCGTCCTTCATCTGGATCGGGCAATAAATGCGACCTGTACTTTGTTTACAAAAATACATGGACAGACGGACGGACGGACAGACGGACGGACGGACATGCATAAATCGACTCAGAATGTGATTCTATGCAGATCATCAAAAGGAACTATGGGTCTATCTCGTTTCCTTTTGCCTGTTACAAACAAATGCACAAAGACATAATACCCTGACCACCTTGTGGTGTAGGGTATAAAAACTGCAACAAAGTCAAACGCCATAATTTTCACACTTTTTTTAAATTTTATTGAATGAAAGCAAAAAATGTCGGAAATAGCATACAATTTTAGAATAAGTTTAGATTTGTTCGCCTTTGACACGAATTATGGCCGTCAAACGATCAATGAAACCGTTACACGCTGCCCGAATGTTGCTCTGTGGTATTTTGGCCCATTCCCGGCGAAGCGCTTGCTTGAGGTGATCGACACTTTGGTATTTGTTAGTGACAGGAACCTCATTTTGTAACCATTCTTGGGTGGCGCGTGCTGAGTGCGGTGGTGCTGAGTCCTTTTGAAATGTCCAAGGTCTGCGGCAAAAATGTTTGCGTGCCCAAGGCTTTAATACATTATTCTGATACCACGGTCGATTAATACGAACGGAGAGGGATCATCGACTGTTATAGCGGCCCACATCATCACCATGGCCGGCGCTTGAGTTCTGGTGGCCAACCGAAGGTGCACATTTTCAGCTAACCTCTTTGGCAAGTAAACACGATAATTTTGGTTGTTTACAAACTGCTGGACAACGAATCTTTTCTCATCGGAGAAAACCATATTCGGCAGTTCACCACTTTCGACAAAGCGAAACAACTCTATAGCTCTCTTGAGTTTATTTTAATTCAGTTGCGGTATAAATTCTTGCACTTTTTGGAATTTCAATGGTTTTATCCCGAGCTCATTTTTCAATATTTGCCAAATTTGTAGTGCTTGCTTTTAGACGGAATTCGGTCGGATGTTGCAAAAATCCTGTCATTTGGACTGATATTGGCCATTTGGTGCAAAATTAATTCGAAATCGGTTGAAGATATACATGAGAGCTATATCCAAATCTGAAACGATCTTGACAAAATTTGGCAGAGGTATTTTTGAGCTGTATCCAAATATCATTGTTGAGGGACTTCAACACAAATCGGATATAACATATATGTATATAGGAGCTATAGCTCTAGATTAATTTCCGTGAGATATGCCAAAATTCAGGACTTTTGGACATATATTAGCCATTTGATGTACAATTCTATGAAAAAATACGCGTTTAAATAAAAACCGTTAAAATGGGGCTACAAGAAGACAAGGACCTGGATACGCATTTTTTGTCATAGTCCATAGTTGAATAATGTGAGGCATATGAAGTCCTGCATTTATATTTTCTGTCATAAGTTCATTATGAACTTCAGCGTCCATTATGAACTTCAAATACGAAATTTGAAACAATTTTGGTGAATGATGACTCAAAAAAATCATCAAATTAACAAATATCGCGAGGTATCGTAATTGGTGGCTATACGAAGGCGTGGACCCGCATACACAAAATTAAATATCTTTCAATACGAAATTTGAAAAGATTCCGGTATATAATGTCGTTTATATCATCAAAATACCGAATATTTAGAGGTACCGTTATGACAAAATACACATGTGTGCAAACTTTTAGCCTTTTACCTCAATTAGTTCGAAAGATAGCGTGTTTACAATAGACAAACAGACAGATAGTCAGGCGGACATCGCTAACTCGACTTAGAATTTTACGTTGATCAAGCATATATATACTTTGTTGAATCTGACATGAGTATTTCGAACAGTTACAAATGGAATGACGAATTTAATATACCTTCCATAATATGGGGGTATGAGGGAAGTTAATATACGCTCCATAAGCAATTAAATATAAGTCATATTGAAACAAGTAAAAACAAGTAACATAGCTCTAAGTTCGGCCGGGTCGAACTTTGAATATCCTCCATCATTTGGAACGAATTTGGCAATTCTCAAAAACAATCAAATCCGGTAAAAATTCGGTTAATATCTTAAAAATACCGAATGTAGCTATTATATTAGGCTCTATACGACGCCAAACTTAAAAAAATCGGTTATAATGATAGAATCAAAATATCGAATATCGGGAGGTACCGTTATATGGGGGCTATACGAAGACGTGGACCTGCACAGACAATTTTCTGTCGTAGGCTGTAGTATCCATTACGAACTTCAAATACCAAATTTGAAAGAATTCCGGTGAATAAATTCGCTAAAACCATCAAAATACCGAATATCGGGAGGTACCGTTATATAGGGGCTATGACAAAACGTGGACCTACATGAACCATTTTCAATACCAAAAGTCCTGCAGACATAACATACATTTAAGCAAAATTTTATCAATCTACTTCAATTCGTTCGGAAGCTAGAGTGATTTCCACAGACGGACAGACGGACGGACATCGCTACATCGACATAGAATTTTATGCTGATCAAGAATATATATACTTTTACAAACGGAATGACAACCTATGGTGGATGGTATAAAAAAACATTATGTCAGGCCAAACTTTTAATACCTTCCACTATTAGGTGAAGAAAACATTTTTATATAAAAGTATCTGATTTCAAACGTGTTTCACTTTAAACTACAAATACCAGTAAGACCGTTTGACAGTCAAACTTTCCAAAAACCATAAAATGGGTGAAACCGTTAAATGGAAGCTATACCAACACGGGAACCTATATAGACAACTTTATACTTCGAGGATGTGACTGGGATTATCAAAATACCGAATAGCGGTGGGTACAGTTATATGGGAACCGTTATATACATTGGGCGCCACCCCTGTACGTACTAAAGACTATTTCTTTAAACAGATTTGAATGTAAAAAAATATGCAAAGTTTGAAGAACGTTTTGAAGTTCTTCTCCATAAGTATTTTATTATTCAAAACTTCGGCAGTTTTTGGGGAAGTTGCAAGGTCGGGTATGTACAGGTCTATATTTACGATTTTCTCGCAAGACTTAAATAAAGTTGAGATGAGCGAAGTATCAACCAAATCGGATACTTCCTTCGATTTCTAAGCGGGATAGTTCGTCGA